TCTAGGCACCAATAATTTTCTTTTATTGAGCTAATAAATGCATCTTCAGCATGATAGCTAAAATTATTGTTTACAGATTTTTCCGAATTTTTCAATTGCGTGTTATTTTCAGCTTTTGCTTTATTTTTACATCCACGTGCAAAATGTCCGATTTTGCCACAATTAAAACATTGTTTGTTTCGTTTAGAATCACTGTATCGTTTGTTTTGTTTTGCGTTTCGGCTTTTATTTCGATTTATGTATAGAGAGTTTTCATCACTATGTCTGTCTTCTTTTGTCCTTTGCGATTCAGCTTCTTCTAATATTTTCACTCGAAGTATGTCTGGCTTTGGCAGCTCGTCGCGCGTTTCTAACGCGCACCTGAAAGTATTAAAAGAATCGGGTAGGCTATATAGGAGCAGTATGGCCAGAAGCTCATCCCCGATGGTGACGTCAATTTCCTTTAATTTTGCCACGGCTTCAAAAAAATCGTTGAGGTGCTCTCTAACCTTTTCACCCTCCTTCATGCGCGAAAGTGCAACCTTTTTCAGCAACGTCGCCTTGCGCGCAGGCCCTTTTGATGAATATGTGGCTTGTAGTTTCATCCACATTTCGTTTGAATTTGTGCATTCTGCAATTAATCTTAATTCTGATGCACTTACTGATAACATTATATCAGCACACGCTTTCTGATCAAAGCTGATCCATTTTGCAGCCCCTTCGCCCGTTGGACACGACGCAGTACCTTCGACATATGACCATAAATCGTTTTTTATGAGAATAGCTTTCATTTGTAATTTCCATGTATCGTAGTTTTCCGCGTTAAGCGGTTCAACTCGAATCACCGTTCCCGACATTTGTATACACGTATTAAATCTACTTTTTATGTGCACGTGCTTTTTACTTCGCAGTGGAAGCGTGCTGGGCCCATAACCTATTATATATTTTTAGCAAAAGTGAAACACGGTCCGATGTATTTTTAACATGTTCTTTACTTCGCTTTATTAACTATACTAAAAATGAATAATGAATAATAATTACAAAAGGAATATAGAATAATGACAGGCCAGAGTTGCCAGGCAATTAATATTTAAAAAGTACTTTACATAACAACAAATACTATTTGAATTATAAGTACTGCTTTATACATCAAACTGTTTAAAATTGTAAAATGAAAAATCTAATCTAGTTTTGAAATTTTCTGTTAACAGTAAACAGATAACAGGATACACGCAAAATTTACAAGCAATTGTTTTTCTTAACCTTTGCTATATAAATTCAATATTCGGTACACTGGTACATATTAAAAAATATCAAATTTTTTTCTTTAGATTACAGCTTTAAATACTAATTTTAAATAAGTAATCTATAGAAATCTAATGAACACGGTGACCAACAAAATATTATCCTGTTGACATATTTTTTTAATCCTATAATTGAATTGCAAAATAAATTAATATTTTTATTATAGTCAGATACCGAAAGATTTCGAACTACCATTTTTTAAACTCACATATTTCGAACTGACACATTTTAAATTTGCACATTTTTAAGTAATTAATAAAAATTGTCGGCACCTTACCTTAAAATTTACTAATTATTTTAATTCGTATCTGTACTGACATATAATTTAATCTAATTGTAGTAATTAAATTCCTACCTTAGAATAATTATACAAAATGACCAAAACATAACTATAATAATAGATTAACACTTTAAGCTTATATTATATTTCTATATAGACGAGTTGGCTTTAAAACTTTATTAAAAACATAAATTTAAGAAGTTTAATAATAAAGTTAACGAAAGACTTTCTGCTCAAAAAGAAATATGCAAAAACTTGTTAAAGATAATAATTGATTGCATCGGCTAAAAGTCCAAAAGGCGTTTTATATACGGACAGACTATTGAAATAATTTAAAATATTAACTCCATGCACTACCTAAGCTCAGCACTACCACGCATTGAAAGCATTAATACAAGTTGAGTTCAAAGTCGAAACTTAGTATTAGTTTTAATAGTAGAGGAGGATACAAACAAGTGTAAGGAGTTGCCCACATAGCGAATCAATACAACGGATTTAAATGGTACACATAATTGTTTATACACCATCAAACATTATACAGCGACAGTTTCCGTAACTTACAAACAGATAGTGAAACATATATTCAGTGAAATTAACAACATATAAAAACTGGTTATGAATGTTAAAACTTTATTCTGTGTACATACTATTAATAATAATTCCTAGTATCCATTTCTTGTATTAATGCTCAAAATTATTGAACTATTTCATTTGATTTACAACGACTCTACACCATACATAAATAAATATTATGCTATTCAATTTTATTTTATATTAGATATTATAAATACATTTTTTATTATTATTTTAATATTAACAAAAATTTCGACGAAGACATTCATATTTGTTTCTATAAATTGTAGTTAAGATTTAAGATTAATTTAAATTATTTTTTATATTAAAATTTCATCACTGCAAAACGACTTTCAAATACTATTTTTGTTTGTAAATACATTGCATATATTTCAAAAAATAATTAAGTCATATAATAAATAAGTAAATTAAAACAATCGGAAATGTCAAATATAATAGAAAAAAAATTCACTATTGACAACTTGTCAAAAAAAATCCCAGAAATATCAAAAACAAAAAAAATATCCTACACAAAATGCACTCCTCGTTACGATTACTTGTTAAAGAAAGCAATGCCTGTATTTTTATTGCATTCAGCAGTTTTCCCAAATTTGTGTGACAGTAATATGAGGTTTATAGCCCAATTAAGTCCTAATTGGTTCAAACTGCGCAAACTATTAAAGTTTAATCTTAAGAAAGGTTGAAACAAATTAAACATATTCTGAACGAACTAGAACAATTCAGTCTTTGATAAATTTTTATGTATAATTCGTTTTTGTCAAGTTATTTTGGGCTGAATATCCCTACTTTTTTTGCAACTTTTTACTTTATAAATAATCGTTAACAAATTGGAAGGAAATCGCATGGATGGACCTGAGATCTACACAAGGCTTTGAACATAACATGAAAGGTAGACTATATTCGTTTTACGTTTTCAACTTAGCTATTTCAATATAAAATATATCAATAGATGTATATTTCTTTCTATTTCTGTTGATGTTTCAATATTTGTTTCAACCTTGTTATTATTTTGTCTCATTTCTGATTCCTGTGACTCTCATTAAGAGAAAGACAAGAAACAGTTTAACATCTGCCTTATTATTATATCCAGGGAATACTCAACTTAGATTGAATATACTAGAGACTTATTTTGCAAAGGAGCTTTTTCAATAACAAAACCTTCACTTAAAATTCATTTAAGACTTTATTAATAGTTCAAATTGATTTCAAACCCTTCGATATTTATACGGCAATATAATGAGTAAACAGGTGTAAGTGGATCCCTTCCAACTACATAACACTTCAACCTGTTGCTCCTACTTTGATTGATTGTATTTTGTCGAGTACTAACATTTTTGAAAACAGCCGCATATTCTTCAACATTAACCAAAGATATATGATTATCAACGGCTTAACTTTACCAATTAATAAGATTCGATTCTGTGAAGGCGCACACTAATTAGAATTGCATTCTCTGAAATCTAATGCAGTATATATATATTCCATCAGAAAGATAAGCTGAACTTCAAAGTTTACTTCTACAAAATCATCTACAAAATCTTATGATAAGATTTGGCCACAGACCCTATTGAATAAAAGTGCTTCAGAAATTAACTCGCTTTTGATCAAGCAAAGAAGAAGAAGAATTAATTAGTCGAATGCAAAGGAAACTCTGGAGCATCTTCTATGTAACTGCCCGGATCTCTTAAGAACTCGACTAAAATACTTAGGGTCTGTCAGTTTTACAGGACTGTAGCGCATACCTGAAGTTTCTGTTGAAATTCTAAGAAAATTTGATAATAACACGCACATCGTAAGTGATGCACATTATCGTTAAAAAATTAAAACCAGATCCATTGCGACCCTAATGATTCATTGCGTTGCCCTTTTGGTCAGCCAACATAACCTAACCTAACTTACCTAGAGACGCATACTTAAGATATATTAATCAAAGAAGATATCCAAAGAGGAAAAATGGAGCAGAATAAACATAAAATATGCAGAAATCAAAGTCAAATTTCACGAATACCAGAGGATTTTACATATAGTGACAGCTAAGCCAATTAATTCCACAAATGGAACCATCGGAATTTTCGCAATCCATCAAAAATATTAAGAAGAATCGACGAAAAAATTTACATTAGTTAAATAGCTTCCAATAGTTTTGTGATGAGTTAAAAGCATTATAAAATAGGAGAAATATTAAAACACACACATTTAATAAACTTGAATCATTTATTTAATAGATAATGTATCATTTATTTTTTATGTAAATTTTGTACAAATGGCATTTTTGTTAAATTAAAATCATATATTGCTAACTTCACAATCGCTTATAGTTTATCTTCGTACTTCTATCACAAACTTAAACCCACTTATCTTTCCAACGCAAAAGACTACACATAACCGCTTGATTACGGCAAATCAATATGTTATGCTTTTCTACCTACATATTTTTTAGTATATTTCAGTACATTTTAAAATTTTCCGGATTAGTTATTTTTTCATAAAAAATAATTCATTTAAAAGCATTACACTTCGTTTTATTCTAGACAATTTCGCTTGGCAAGAGTTTATTTTAATAAAAAAATAAAATCTTAAGCGCAGCTCTAAGCAATAATATATGATTTTTTTCTATTTAAGTCTTTAGTAGTCAGTTATGTTTATAGTCGCAATGAATTCGTATGAAACGAATTTATGTACATGATGGACGCGCACATGCCAGACTTGAACTTTCATCATTGATAAAAATGAAAACATGAACATTTCCATAAGCACTTGGTCACATTTAATAAAAAATTTATTTTCATATTCTTCTCGTTTTATTAAAAGTTTTTTTTTCATATAATTTTCATTTTTTTAGCAAAACCGGCAAGAGTCTCTATCACCGGAACATCACCGTTATGCCAGCATTGGAAAATTACCTAAGGCTGTTTCTAGCACTAAAGGAGCAACAACATATACTGTTGTTGCTGATGTACATAATAGCAATTATAGCGAAATCAATGCATCCTCATTTGCCACACCACCGACACGACGTCGTTTCTTCAATCATAAAAATCTACGAAATGCTTTAACTGGACATAGACGTGCCGCTTCAAATGGCGGTTGTCCTATTGACACTGCTACGATATTATCAGGTAAGTTTAAAGGCTAATTTTTATTGTATATGGAAATGATTTAATATATCATTATGATCGCATATACTTCATATTCATCAAAAGTGACACATACTTAATGATCATAGAAATGAGCTTATGATAAAATCCCAGTCATTTATAAACAGATTTGCAACATTTGGTTAGCGGTTGTATTATAGTGTATATATTTGGGACACTACATCTAAGAAAAGAAAATGAATTTATTCAAAACTCTTTTAAAATTTTTAAGGATGGTTTCACAACCAGAAAAATGTAATCAAAGGGGGCGATAATTAACCTCTTAAAGACTAATTTAAGACAAGTTTTTTTAATATGCTATATATTATATATAGCATATTTTATATTTTTATATTTTCTTTTAATATTTATTTATGTCTATTCATTTCAATATCATTTTTATTCATTTCTATATCATTGCTATAATCAAACACAAAGCCAAAGATACCAATGTTCTTAATACATCGACATGTTCTGATTCGGTGGTGACCCGAAGACGTCGTAAGAATGTTAGTAACAACGTGAAAGCAGCAACAACAAACACAACCGGCAGTGAAAATCGTTTGAATCGTTTAAGCCTCGCTGGTACTTCAGTTTACGCCGGACATCTATCATCTTTAGTTTTCGGAAAAATAAAGTCATTATGGAGCGTAAATTCGAATTCATCTGATGCTGGCTTAAATCAATTAGCAGGCAGGATTCTTTAAATTCATAATCGTTCTTGCATAAAAAAGTTATTTTTTGTTCCTTGAGTTAAATTTTAATTGAATTCGCATGTTTTTCATTGCATGTTTTCTTCGCACGTTTTAATTAATTTTATATTTGATATTTATATTTGAGTAAATATACTTTAAAGCATATATTCATTAGTTTTTAAAATTTTTTATCGTTTTTACAGGCGGTGAAAATCTTAACAACGATCGGAATGCAACGTCAATCGATAAGCAAAACGATCAATTACGCACCCGTCTTGGTCTTCTACTCCTCGATCAAGATCAAAACGTTAACGGAAACACAAGAGCAAGCAGCAGTTCATCACACAATATAAGTCCAGAGCAAACATTACTACCGAATGGTGGCAGCAACATCTATAATAACGACAGCTTTGGCAGTCAACTATCAGTTGTGACGAAAGACGATGCACTAAGTTTATCAGATAAATTTAAAGCCAATTGTTCTCTAACTGACGGTAGTAATGGCTATGAACCATTTCCCGTGAAAACACGCAAATCCGCAGCACGCCGTTCAGCACGATCGGCACAAGTAAGTGGTGTTAGTAAACGTAACGCCATTTATAAACCGAGCATACAAGCACCACCTGTGCAACAACTAGCATTAAAACCACTATTCTTTGAGGTTCCTTTGCCAGAACCAGATCCTCCATTTGTTGGTCGTCAGTGGTTATTGCGTGAACTTTCAAATGTATTAACAGCAACGGAAACACCAGGTGTATTAATAAATGGTAATCCAGGTACTGGCAAAACGGCTTTGATATTACAACTTGTCGAGTACTCATGCTTTGGCAGACGTAAAGATACCTTAAGTGCAGATCCTGATGGTATATACTCTCAAATCAATGTAGGACATGAGCGTATACGTGCATTAGCCTCCTATATTGTGGGTTATCATTTCTGTCAAGCCGATTCAAGTTCCACGTGTTTAGTACCAGATTTTGTCCATTCACTGGCCGCACAATTATGTCAAGCACCGCAGTTAGCCGCCTATAGAGATTATTTGCTTAGCGAACAACATTTACAAGACATATTAAATGTTAAGGAATGTATTGCTGATGCCGAACGTGTTATGCGTATGGCCATATTAGAGCCATTGACAATACTTAAAAAATCTGGCAAAATACCAGCAAAAACTTGTGTTATACTTATTGATGGTCTTTGCGAGGCTGAGTATCATCGTCCCGATCATGGTCATACCATAGCCACATTTCTTGCTAAGATGACACAACATTTTCCTTCATGGTTGAAAGTAGTTGCAACTGTGCGCACACAAATGTTAGATTTTGTAAAAGGTTTGTCTTATACAAAAATGACTTTGGACAGTTGGGCATCCAATGATCTTTTGCAAAAGGACATGCTGGACTATATAACATTCCGTGTTAACCACAGCATTGAAATACAGAGCAATATTGGAACTGTTAAAGACAACAGCACAGGCCAGTTAAAATTCGTTGGACACTTACAAACCCTAACAAGAGGTTCCATGCTTTACGCCAAACTTATACTAGATCTCATTGAACGTGGACAGTTGGTGATCAAATCCACTAGCTATAAAGTACTACCAGTATCGTTAGCGCAGATATTTTTATTACATTTTAATTTGCGTTTTCCTACCGCCAGCAGCTTTGAAAAAGTTGCGTCTATATTGAATGTCTGCTTGGCTACCCTATACCCATTGACACTTAATGAAATATATTATACAATATGTGCTATGAAAACTGATGAAGTTATAAGTCTTGATGAATTTCTTCAACGCTTTAAATTACTAGATGGCTTCCTAATAAAACGCATTGACAATACTTATATGTTTTTCCATTCATCCTTTCGAGAATGGCTTATACGACGCGATGAAGGCGAGTCTACAAAGTTTTTGTGCGATTTTCGTTTAGGACATGCTGCTATTGCGTTTAGACTTTCACGTCTGCAAGCGCCATTAGATCCAGAGCAAACACTAGAGCTTGGACATCATATGCTAAAAGCACATATCTATCGTAATTGTCAAGGCGGTATAATTCCACGAGATGTGCAGTCATATTGGATGGCTTCAGTAACAGATAATATTTCCGCAGCTCTTGGGTCGCTGCGAAACGTTTATAGCCCAAATGTAAAAGTTTCTCGTTTGGTATTGCTTGCTGGTGCTTCACCTCATTACCGCACAGAGTTCATGGGTGAAGCCCCCATATTATGCTTAGCTGCTTATGAGGGCATAGTTCCTATGGTGAGTTTGCTACTAGAATTTGGTGCAGATGTTACCTTAACAAACAGTCAAGGTAGCACACCCCTTATATTAGCGGCTATGCGTGGACACTGTGATGTTGTTCGTCTATTGGTTGCTGCTGGCAGCAGTCTGGGACAAACAGATATAACACAACGTTGTGCTCTGGTGCATGCAGCACGCACTGGCCGTTTAAATGTAGTTAAGTATTTATTGGCTTGTGATTGGACACCGCGTCCAAACACAGATGACATGAGCTTAAATGCAGCCATACAACAAGCACTAATTGCTGCTGCGGGTAAAGATCATGTAACTATACTAGAAGATCTATTAGAAGTAGATGATGTTGACATAAACGAAGTAGAGCATTCCACAGGTGACTTAGCCATCACAGCTGCAGCACGCAACGGTTGTATAGATGCGCTTGGTATACTCATTTCACGAGGTGCCAAAATTGATGCCTACAATAAACAAGGATTCACAGCACTCTGGTTAGCCGTAAAAGAAGGACACTGGGCAGTGGTGGAAAAATTATTACAAAACGGCGCTGATATAGACGAAGCGGTGGGTGCTACGAAGAAGACTCCGCTAATGATTGCAGCTGAAGAGGGACATATTGAATTGTTGGAACTGTTAACAGATCGTGGTGCAACATTAGAGGCACAAGATCACGATGGATTTACCGCTCTCTCTTGGGCTTGTTTACGTGGACGACAGACTGCAGCTAAATGTTTAATTGAGAAGGGCTGTGATAAAAATCATGCTGATAACAATGGACGTACAGCTTTAGATTTGGCAGCCTACCAAGGATCGGCAAATTTGGTGCAATATTTGCTTGAACAAGGAGCCAATATTGAACATGTAGACGTTAATGGCATGCGTCCGCTAGATCGCTCTATAGCATGTCGAAACATACAAGTTGTACAGGTGTTCTTAAGGAAAGGTGCAAAAATTGGACCAACCACATGGAGCATGGCAATGGGTAAACCAGAGATATTGATAGTACTCCTCAATAAATTGCTGGAAGATGGTAATGTGTTATATCGTAAAAATCGTTTTAATGATTCTGCTTACCGTTATCAATATGCATTGAGGAAAATTAAAACTTTGGAAAATTTAGTAGAGCGTAGCAGCGTTTTTGCACAGTTACGTACAAATTTATTGCTAAATCTTTCACGCTGTAAGCGAAAATTAAATGTAAGTTTTTAACTATAAACAAATTTATTTAAACCTATAATTGCAATCAATTTAATAAAAAATATTATTTTTATTTTGTAGGAACTTGAAGAATCCATTGATTTAGCGACGCAGGCGATAGTGCAAAAACCACAAAGTTACGAAGGCTATTACGCACGTTGCAAAGCACGCATGGAGAATGGTGAAGTCAATGAAGCATTGGTTGATGCTAACGAGGCAATGCAAAAGGCAGCTCATAGTGGAGTTGGATCGGAAGTAATAGAAGTACTCAAACGTATACAAACCGAACTGTTAAATCGTATAACTAATGATGACAGTCAAGCGAAAGCGTTACGCAAATATGAAACCAATGCCGGTGCAGAAAATATCTTGAGAGTGACAGAATCTCAACATGAGATCACTGATTTATAATTTTTGCATTTAAAAATTAATGGAGGTCTTTCTTTTTTGTTTCTTATTTATAATAGATAAAAAAAGGCGTAACTTAATTTATTAATTTTGTACTAAAGTTAAATTCTTTTATTTATATTTTAAATGTTATTCGTAAAATACATTTTTTTTAAAAATATTTAAATTCTAATATATAACATATGTAGAAATTAATTATAAATAGTTTGTAAAAAAATACATGTGTAAATTTTTTTAATATAAATAGAAATCTAAGAAGTCTAAGACAAGCATACTTTAATTTTGTATACATTGTAAGTTGCTCTTCATTAATAAAAATATTCGATTATCTACTCCTTGTACTTTTCGATACTCATTTAACACGGATATACGATAATAACAGTTATAAAATTAATTATTTAATAAAAGACTTTAAAAATATATAAAAACTTTATTTTGTCTATAGTTTTTGGTATGCTAACCTGAATTAATTTTTTTTACTACCCATTTTTTTATGGTCAGCAAAATCACTGGCACAGGGCGAATGATCACTCGCCAACTGTGAGTCTAAAAGAGGTACAGTTACTTGTAAGTAGAGCTCATAGTTTGATACTGTAAAATATATTAAAAATGATTAGTTTCTTATAGTAAAATTTATTATAAATACATTTTCTGAGTATTACAGTGTTATATTGAATGTTGTGATGTATAATGCAAGCAACAATCAAAACAGAATGATATGTGTCCAAACTAAACTTTAAACTTAAATTATAAAAATCACTTAAAGTTATTTAAATATTAAAAAAACATCCCTATTGTAGCTATTTGTTTCACATATTCCATATATATTTTTGAATTTACGTAAAACTGTATAATTATTACTCTTAATTTGATTTATAAGTTAGTAAAATTTTGAGATTTATGTTTTAAAATAATATTTAAAAAATATTAACGGTATAAAACAATAAAATTTCGAATTTTATTATTTTAAATTTTAAAAATTTCTTATATAATAACTATATGAAAGTATATTACAAACTCATGTAATTTAAAAATATTGTTAGCACTAGTATAACAGTGTATAACAGTTGACTTGTTAGCGATAATAAGGTTACAAAATTACTTGCTACTGTTTAATAAATTTGAAGAAGTAAGTACTTAATATAAAATTAAATCACAAAATTAATATGTTTGTTAATAACTCACTAAATTTATTTTACAAATCGATATTATGGTAAAAAAACCTAATCTTATTGTATTAACCAAATATTAAAAACAAACATATAACATACTTTAATTGAATTTTGTCTTCGATATAATACATTTTAAAAATGTATAAAATCGATTAGTATCTAAATATGTCTATTAATATATGTATTAATATATGTTTTATAATATTTAAATATTTTAATAAATTCAAAAAATTTTAACTAATTACAAAAATTCAAATAAATTATTAAACTATTATAATATATACTATATTAAAAATTCAAAAATAAAAATATAAAACTTGAAATATAATACTATTTGAAATTGTACAATAAAAATTTTTGTTCGTCCAAACAATAATATAATAATTTATGCAAATGTGTGTAATTTCAATTAAAAATAAAAATTTAAAATAAATAATTAAAACAAAAACTTGAGGGGATGAAGAAGCCATTTAGTGCGTTGCAAATGTATGCGAATGTGTGCGTTGTGCATATATGACTTACATGACAGACTCACTTTGTTCTAAAATATTTTCTAAATCATCAAGACAATCTATCGTTCGAAAATCTATATTTGTAGATTCCTTTAATATTACTATAATATTTTTGGGAGCTTTCATTAGAAAAAGAGGAACATGCATATTAGCCAACTCTTTATTTAAAGCACCCATGCCGCGAGCAGCAGTAAAATCAAAATCTGAAAAAGTGTTTAATATATATATTAAAATCTAATTTTATATTTTTACAGATTTTACTTACCATGTACATTTGCAAAATCCAGAACTACAGGTGCAGTCCCATAAGTACTCACAGCTTTTGCAATATTATTACGAACCCATTCAATTGCAGGAAAGTACAACGAACTGTGATTTGGACGCATCAAAATGTAATCTATACCATGTGCAGTCTAAAATATTATTGTTCAATTATTTTTTAATAAAAAAAAACCCAAATAATAAATAGAATAGAATAGAATTAATATTAACCTTTAATTTTGATACATTTAAAGGCGGTCTAGCAGCACGATAAACTAAAAATGCCACATCTACTGCTACACCTAATAGCAAACCAATTTCCACGCCCACTGTTAAACTAACAATAAATGTAATAGCACCCGGTAAAAGTTCGCGCCGGCTGCAACGCCATAGTGGTTTCACTACCTATAAACAAATTAATAATAAAAAATTTTGATTTATTTCAATTGGCCATATGTAACGTATTGATAGGATAGATAGTGTAATCAGTTTTCAATATATTTATAATACAATATATCTGTTTATAATAAAAATCCGATAGTATTTTTTAAACCTGCCATATATTTAAAGAAAGCAAAACAAATTTATTTTTAATAAACAAAAACAAATACATATACTTACTTCAAATTCTATCATAAATATAACAGCTGATATAATTACAGCACTTAAAGCTGCCTTTGGTATATATTGAAAGTATGGTGTAAGTATGCCAAGCGCTAAAAGTACTAACGCACTTGTATAGAAACCACCAATAGGCGTCCGCACTCCACTCGCATGGTTAACAGCACTGCGTGAGAATGAACCCGTTACTGGTATTGATGAGAAAAAGGAACCAAATACATTGCAGAGTGATAGTGCAACAAGTTCACGTGTCGCACTTAATCCTGCGCCGCCAAATGCTTTAGAAATAGCAACATTTCCAAGTACCGCTATTATTGGTAGTATAATCATAGATGGTCCTAATTCACTAAGCTAAAAATTAATAAATATTGTAATTATTAATTATTTAATTTAATTTATTTTATAAATTACCATGTCCTTGTAGTTTTGATGTAATTCAGTACCATTAGCACTTAGTATTGTTGTTTCAAATTTGGGTACACTGAAATCTGGTAAACCACTTTTTACTTTTCCTGTTAATATAAATGGACAACGATTCGTTCCATCACAAGCAAAATATGCTAACGAACTTCCAATAAGTACAATCAAGGCATTACGTCCAGTGGAAATTAACCAAAATATGATGTTCAAAACTTTTCTGTGTTGTCCATCTTGAGTTTTTAACTTAAAATCCTTCATTTTCTACAAAAAAAATAGGGATAGACATATATTCAAAATTATTTAATTAAATTTTATCATTGTATTTTTATTATTAATGGTAAAATAAACGTTTTTAACTCTTTATACGGGATAGCCCAATTAAACTGCAATTAACTTTAAACTACTTTAAATATTGGTGTCACCACGGGCGAAAAGAGGTAAGGGTAGGGACCTTACCTTAAATAAGGCCATAAAATAAATGTATAAAATTCGCCTTTATAATCTTTTACTATTTTACATACATATATTTCTTAAATAAGTCAGACATTAATATGATAATGTCATATCAGAATACCAGCGAACAACTAGAACAGTTGTTAAGAGATCATAAGATGTTCGAACTTCTTGTTTCTGTTATGTCCCGAGGAGAGTTATATAGTACGAAATATAAATCGAATCACAAAATACGAATACATAGGTGAGGATATAGATCAGCTATGTGATAATTGAGAAGAAGAGAGATTTTTTGTGCTAAGCAGTGAATGATCGAAACTTGCCTGTATCAAGGCGGAGAAACCGTGCTATTTTAATAGATCCAAGTAGCCAAGTATTCATGGGACTCCAATTGGTATGTACATTCAAACATGAGACCAGATGGAACTGTGCTTACATGAATGCGGATATTTGACGAATATTATTTTTCAAGTGTTCACATTTGTGCAGAAACTCATCTATCGACTATAGCACTCACTCCATACTATAGCACTTAAGGCCGAAAATTCGAAATGAATTAAAAACATTAAATTTTTTTCGCAGTTTTTTCTCTTGGTTTAATAAAATTCTATTTTAAATAAAAGCAACAACATTTTTGAAAAATTGCAGTTCAGTTAGCTACCCTACATAAATTAATTTACTTCTTAATTTGTTTCTTACTCTTAACAGTAGAAGCAAAATTATAGACACAATACCAAGTGTGAAATCACCATAACGTAAGTTGTCCAAGTTTGAAAATACTGAACCTATTGTTTCAATGAAACTGGAACCCGAACCACCACGTAGACCTAAAAGACCCTATAAAGAATTTATAAATTAGTTCACAATATTTTAAATAAAATTATTTTATAAAAAAAAATACTTTTATTTGTGAAGTGCCAATAATAACAGCAGTTGCAGAAGTAAATCCAACAGTAACTGGTAATGAAATTAAATCAACTAAAGCACCTATAGAGAAAAAGGAAATTAAAATCATATCTATGTTAACAAGTATTACAAACTATATATTTGTATGTAATATTAATTAATATAAATTAATTTCTTGTTTCCAATGCACTTACCCAGTCTTAGCACAGCCATAATTAACTCAACAATACCCGATATCAAGCATAGCAGAATCGCATACGTTGGACCAGAAGCTAAACCTAAACTTGTATGTCTACTTGTCATTAATGCTAATAAAGCTGTAGGACCAATAGTAACCTGTCGACAACTTCCCACGAACGCATAAACAATTCCACCAATAAATGCAGAATAAAGTCCATACTAAATTAAAAAAAATTTAATTTAAATTTAATTAAATCTTTTATATTAAATGCATTGTATTTCGTTTTGGTATTTTACTTGTGGATCCAAACCAGCCAGTGTGGCATATGCTAAGCCTTGCGGCAGCACAGTTAATCCAACTGTTACGCCAGCTATTAAGTCAGCAATAGCATCCTGCGGTGTATATCCTTGAAACCATTTGATACCTGGAAATACTAGTTGTGCCAGCCGTGAAATTTTCATTTTTTATATACGAAATCTTTGTTGCGTGCGTGCCGTGCAATGTATCTTAACTCTGAAATTATATAAATACGACACAATTTAGTTATAAAATAATGTTTTTATATTATAAACTTGTCATATATGTATATATTCATGCTTTAAATTAGATTGTTCAATAGTTTTGTAAAGCATTTTTTGTCAATACTCCGAAAAGTGCAAAGACAATTTAGACTATACGTACATATATTGTATATGGAGATTTATAAATAATATTTATATGAAAAGCAATCATTCATTATCATTAAAGCTATTAACTTATGTTTTCATTCTAAATATTAAACTAATCTATAATAATTTCGTATTTAGTTTATATTACATAGCAAAAACTATAGAGGCGTATTCATGATTTTAGGTGATATTGGTAACGTTTCATGGCTTATTTATATATTTAAAAAAAAAAACTTTCTTAATTGAGAGTCAATTTTAATCTATTATATATTTGCCAATATTATATATGACCTTTTCCCACTTTTCGGGTAGCTTTACAATTCCAAAGGTGTACAACTTCAATGGTTTATTGGCAAAAAATTTGTCCAAATGATTTTGAGCGACTCTTTGGTCGACTAATTTATTATTAACACAGTTTGCGAAAACCGAAATAAATGGTGATCAGACGGTGTGTGGTCCAGGCTATGCGGTTAATGTATTAAAACTTCACAACCAAATTCCATAAATTTTTTCCAAGACATCAAAGATGTAATTATCTCGGCAATCATTATCATGATGGAACATAACTCCTTTCTGTTGGCTAGTTTTGATCGTTTCTATACGTTTAAGTCATTTAAGTGATCGAGCTGTGAATTGTTACAATGAGCTAAAACAGCTCGTTATTCCGTTTCATGCCCACCAAACACTCAACATAGCCTTGTTTACCATAAAACCATGTTTTGATCTGCTAATCTACTTACTATAGAAGTTACTATATTTGTTCTGGATAATAATAAAACCACTAATAATGTTGTTCTGAAAGTCTGTTTTTTGTCCATCTTACTATGTCATTTGACTGCTAGACTACTCATAGCTTGCAAGGTAGATATATCTAAGAAAAATCGGTATATAATATAAATAAATGCAATCACAATGCAGATTTTAAATTAAAATCTAGCTGGTTACTTAAGCTAGAAACCCCACAACAACTACAACGAATTGTGATTATGATGTCATCTTAATTTCATGAATTCAAAGCCAGTATTATAAAAAAAAAGTTTACTAAAGTTTACATAGACTATTAACGTTATAAGCATACCAGGAAATAATTACCAATATTCTGAAAGTCCAGAGAATGTGGAAAAAAGACGACTTAAGGAAATGATTGTGTCTTGGCTTGTTACATATACGCTTTAAGACTCCACATACGTCGACATATTACGTGATACCTACTACAAATCTACATGACGTTTTGCTCCATCTAAATCAATAGATCTATGTATGCTTTATGATAGATTATTACTAACGCATACTTGCCATAACTCAACTACCGATATGTAACAAACTCAACATGTCTAACTAACTTTCCTCGAATTGCCATCTTTATTTTAAAATTTATTAATTAAATAATACAATGATAATATAGGAAAAGAAAAGATTACATATGTACATAAAATATGTTACAGTAATTATGTAAATCAGGCAGAGACAAGAAATAGTACATACAAAACATAGTTTCAACTTAAAAGTGACATCTTACATCTATTTACATTTGTTAGTAAGAATATGGTATTGACAAATGGAAACAAATGACACATATTGCAAAAGATAGAAGCAGATAGTAAGTCAAGAATTTGCTTTTGGGTATAGAACGGTCTGTTGGCATATCTGCTATTTTCAGAGTCCTTAACTTCAAACAACTTTCATCCTAATCATTATCCATTATTGCAATCTTATATCTATAAGTTTTGTTTATTTAATCATATATGTATTTATTAAATTATTATGGTACTATCAAAAATAATGTGTATAAAAAAATTCAAGTAATTTTATGAAACTGCTATATGCTGGGTTTTTAGCCCCTACAATAACTATTTTACAAGTGTACAGATATAAATTAGTTAAGTGTTTATTTACATACTTATCAATTTAAATTTTCTCAGTACAATTTTATTGATTTAAAAGCTATTTTAAAATTACATATTATAAGAAAGCAAAAACTTTTTTGATTAGTCATTATATTTAATAGATAAGAACATTTTTCGTTACAAAAATGTTTAATAAAAAAGCTTTTAGAAAACCGTGTTCTAAAATGAGTACATGCTGATCCCAGAAACGGTTAAATCTACGTCATATAGCCAGTAGTCTGTTTTAACCTACAGCTACTAAAAACGGTGGATTACAAGGATTGCAACAACAACAATATGTGCTTATGCTGAAGAACTTAAACCTTAAGTTCTTTAATGCACCTTAAGTAACTTTAATGTCTGACAGTCTTAAAACTCAAGGTTAATCAGAATACCAACGGTAGTGAATATATATATTATTCTATTTATTAAATTCAAAATTATTTTATTATTAAATTCTTATTATTTTTATAAATGGGTTCTCTTTAAAAAGTATCGAGGAGTTAAATATTTTTTAAATATGGTAACTTTTCCATCTCATAATTATGCTTTTCCCAGCTCAGGAATACAGGTTCACCTCCTTAAAAAAAATCAAATCAGTAAAAAATATTAAAGCAAATTTATATATATATATATATGAGTTCTGAACTCATATATATATATATATTCTTTTCTGACATCGGTCAATATATCAAAAGTGATTACTTCTTTGCCTTTTTGCTGCTGTTTAACTGTCCGCATGAATTACATACGAGAAAAGCAAAACCCAAGCATTCTTAATGATATTTAGGATCTGCCTACACCTAGATTAGTTTATTTGAGTATTCGTTTTTTATTCCTATTAGATTCTTATACACTATATGTTCCAGAAAACACCCCACCTCTTTAGTGTTGATATGTAAAAGGTGGTTTCCAAAGCAGATTTGATTTTTTAAAATTTGTGATTGTGATTGATATGCTTTCAAAACTTCATAACGTTTGTATAAATGAAAACGGAGTTATTGAATTTAACAGTGCATCACGATGTCGATAGAAGCATTTTCTCTTATCAGCAAACACATTTTTCAGAGAAGATAAAGTCGCACGGAGCAAATCTGTTAAATACGGGAGGTAATTAGCATTTGGAATACTATTGTTAGCTTAAAAATCTTTCAGAAATGCTGATTGATCAGTGCAATTTTTCGTCTTCAGTCAACTTATGTGAAACTGTATAATAAGATGAAAAACTAAGCATCCGTATATGGGTTAAATCAATAACCAATAGAAGACAGTACCTATAAAAAATAAAGTAAAGAGAAAATCTGTAGGAAAATTAAGAATAACATATATATATGTACTTCTATATTATACGATTTTGACACTATATAGTTTCCTAGGCACCGCGAGTTGATTCCGGATTTCAGTAAAAATAGCTATTTCTTTTTTGTACAACATACTAAAAAATATCGACGTTTTTAATGCAAATACAAATATGCTGATATAGCTTGATTCTTGAGATATCTGATTTTGAAGTACCGAAGTTTTGTATATTCGTACGTTACGAAATACGAGATGATCAATTGCGACGAAATTTCTATACAACTTTATTGAAAGAGAGTGAAGGATAAGCTTTTTTTTCAACAAAAGGTGGCGCTGGTGCTACCTAACATTAATTATTAATGATTTCTTATTAATCATAAATAATAATATTATATTAGCATTTTATTGACTAAAATATCAAGGTGTAATGGAAAAAGACCAATGATGAAGATTAAAAATGGCTAAATGAAATTGTGGAACTGATGAACAACGTGTTATTTAGAAATTAAAAGACTTCGATTAGTAACAAACACAGCATATAGAACAGAAGAACCAATACGCGTATTATGGCCAGTACTCGTCTGAGTAGCAATTTCTGTTGTGGTTAACAGAGCATTTAAATTTATATTAAATTAATTTGTAACGTCCGCTTAATTAAGATTTTTAGTTAAGATTCTTAACATTCTTTTAACTACTGTTTTTAGTAGAGAGGTTTTTACTGAACACTAGTGAAATTGCAACAACAAAAATACCCTCCACCAGTGGTCTTGGCATTATTTCTTATATATAATTATTTAAAAAAAATTGTTTTTAGACTGCAAGTACCAAGTGTTGTACTTGTGCCCTGCCAAATTTAAAGCTCAAAATCAGTGTTCTTTAGCCAACTGAACCAAAGCCGTGCTTGACTTGTGGAGTTTTGTTAGTTTGCTGTGAAAGTTCATTAGCAAATTCACTGTGTTAGAACGAAATCATAAACCAGCTGTAGAATAATTGAATTAATTAATTATATTTTTTATTTTTTAAATGTTAAATTTCAATACTATTCTTTTGTAGAGGCAATATTTATTGCACGATTGTATCACTATTTTTTATCTATAGCACCTAATCTCTAGATTTAGTTCTAGACTTTATTCACAAAGCTTTAAGGGTCTTTGTTTAATCAATAGTGAAACTGATACAATAGGACTGTTCTGGCCGCAGTACCGGCTGTTGGGCAATTTTCACGTCTATTCTTTTAATAATAAAAAAAATCTAGGAACGTAATACGACGAAAGCAAAGCAAAGGAGGAGCAAATTAAATTTTTTAAATAATTTATATTGAGATTAATTTGTATTGTATTTTAATTGGATTGTTGTAATATATTGAATATAATTAAGACTTAATTAGGCGACTTTGTGATCGCATACTGCTTGATATATTTTAAGAATTGTATTGGTAGGTATCATTCAATCCAATATTGTGTAAAATGCCCAAAGCTTACATTAACTTCGAATTATAATAGTTTATTTATCTAAAACATATACCATATTTGTACATATATTTGCAACAGAAATGAGATGACAGTTATTAGCATTACAAATCAAAATGATGAAGTATTTCAATATTAAAACACTAATATATTGTAAATTCAGACTGTTCATTTAAAAGATAATTAACGTGTGATATGTAATCCTAAAGACACATAATTATCTGTAAAAAGACCATCAACAACAACATTATTTAAACTTTTGAAGAAGATGATTATGTTGGTAATATTTGATTGCATGCGGAACAAAACTGAATTCCAAAAAACAGACCAAGTCGCTATTGTTCCTGAGACACTTGTCCGAGTCTATATAATCCATCAAAGTTGTCATAAATGTTACTTTTAAGAATGCTGTATTCAAAAAAAATTAGGACAAAGTAATTTTCTAATTTATGTGTAATGATTATGGTAATGCTAGAATTTAATATTATTTAGGTGCATCACATTTCAAAATTGAAATGAATAGCTTTATTTTTTTAATTATGAATAAAAATCAATTCTGATCATCAATTGAAAACTGTCAATGGAACAATGGATACAGTTCCAAAAGTTATACGAAAAATTTTCCTAGTTAGTTTACAAAACTAAGTGACTTGTTTGCTTTAAATTGCTAGAGAATTAGGTAGACCTCAAACGGTTTGTCATGGCCATATTTATACGTATAACTGAATTAATTTTAAAATGGACTTGTAATCATTATATATTTTGCAATACAAAATTTTCTAGTTATTAAGAGAAAAACAAAATTTACAATTTAAAAAGCACGAAAAAGAAGAAAAATACAAAAAAAGGTTTAAAAAATTATATGAGTAGATGCGCTAAAAGCGCACAACTTTCAATGGAATGGTTCCGCTATGCAAGACATGGATGCATCCAGTCTTCGAGACATGTCTTTGAAGACTGTTTTGCAAATATCTTAGCATACCTATTCACATTTTGTGTGTAGATGGTATAGAAATAAATTCATTAACTACTCTAACTACTCTCTTCTACTCTAATATAAACATAATCGTGCTTTTTAAGTTACATTATGTACAATTATAAACTAAATAAATTAAATGCATAGCATATCATGTATCAGTTAAAAATGATCATACAGATCATATTTTTTTTTAGCTACAGTTATTTTATTTAATACAATTTGTAATTAAATTTTTTATAACAAATTAAAAAATAAATCAATTAAATCAATTTTCATTACTACATTCAACGAGCTGTAAAAAACTAGCAATTTACTCGCATCAAGATTGGCTTCTTTTAAATACATTCTTTTATTTATACTCACTTATAGTTGTGTTAAATCTTATGAACAACCTTGAAATTATATACAATATACCGTCACAGAAGTACACTTTTACTTCAATAGAAATTGTTAATTTTCATACAAATGTTTAAACTGAGCTCTTTGAATATATTGTATTGTAGAATTATGTACCAAAAATATTAACACAAGTGTTGGCCTACAATGCTCTTAACACATTTTCCCCAACTTTTTACTATACAAATATTTTAAAATTTAACAGCTGTGAAAATAGCTTTAAACTTGCCTAATATTTTTGATGTTATTTTACTTCAACAATTCATAAAATTTCAGATACTTTAGTCACGTTTTAAAATTATTCAACTTTCGCGAGTACTTCTATGTCTTACCGCTCGCGTTGCCGTTTGAAAACTGATAAAAATTGAATTCAGAACTCACAATTGACATCGGCATGAGAACTACTCGAAAAGCTAACAAAGTCGAAAGTTTTTAAGTAAAAACAAACCAGCGAATAAATAAAATAAGTAAACAAAGTAATGTAAACAAACTCAACATTACTTGCTCTTGATTCGATGCAGCTAGTAAAGAGTAAAAAGAAACTAATAATATTTAAAGAAATTTTAATAAAATAAAAGAACTTCAGAAATAATTCAACTCAAGCGAATCGCAAAATATCTCTCGTTCTGACTCAGAATTATTCAAGTCGTTGATTTATTAGAGCAGCAAAACTAAAAATTCAAAGGCTTAACGAGTAGAGTAAGCGAGTAGCGAGCGACCATGGTTCTGCTGTGCAATGTAGGATTCGCGCATTGTCATATGAGATATCACGGGATATCATTTATGTGTCTAAATAACCATCGTTAATAATTAAAGTTGAGGAACAAAATAATTTATTTATGAAGGCGAGTACTCACTCTAATGTACATAAATATCAAATCACAGTCATATGAGTAGTCATGAGTTATCAAATATTATGCATGCATCCCATAAAAAATTTATTATTTTTGATTAAAATAATAAATATCTAAGAACTGAATAAGTTGTAGGATACTTTTAGTTTATATAAAAAAATAACAACAACAATTAAACTATTGAATTGATTAAAGCATTGCTTTTTACACTTCATACTGTAATCAATAAGGAGTATAATAAATTTACCAAGATGTTTGTCATGATATAGAGTACATACAGTGGCTCACAGCTTATTTAATGCAGGCAAAAAATTTTTGAAAAGTGTTTTTTATTTCAAAATATATGGCAAAATTAAAAAAACAAAGTATACAAAGTTATTATTTGTAGTGTTGTAATTCATTTTCAAGAACAAAAAACCGAAAATTTTTTTCCATTCTTTAGTAATGCAACAAAAACCAAAAACAAAACAAATGAAAAATTCATGTCACAGCTTAAATGATGCAGTTAAGAATACCGTTAATATCGTCGTCATTTCAGACGGAAATAAAAATATTCTTATTTTGCGATCATTTGTAATCATATTTTTGAGGAAAAATACTTAAAAAATTAAAGTGCATGCATTTTATTAACCATGGTACGGGGTGCATCAACTGGAAAGCGAGATTTGGCATTGGATCATTTAAAAAAGGGAATTTCCCAACATAATATAGCTGAAATGATAAATCTACGCTCTTCAACAGTTCAGCACATAATTGAACACTTTTTATATAAAAATTGTGTAGAAAATATGAGTCAAAAAGCTCCCAATCAAATTTTTAAAGTAAAAGAATCAAGATGGTTAATAAACCAAGTTCGAAAAATACAACAACAAGCGCTCCAAAGTTGGAAGTATTGGACAAAATACACTTAGGAAAGACGTGTCATTCTAAAACCGTCCACAGAATATTGGAATAATCATATTTAAATAGAAAAATAGCTCTAAGTAAGCCTTTTGTAAATTTAAAAAGAAAAGAATCAAAAGTTGCAGTTTGTACAGGGTTTATAGAGTGCTACAGGGTTTAGAGAAAAAAAATTCATACAATTACAAAAAAATTCTTTAACTCGATGTCTCCATAAGTCGAACTTTTTCTTTACAAAATGGTACTTCGATCTATTTAATAGATTAAATTAGATAGGTCGATTTATTTGGGAAGTTTAAGCTCTGACAATTCGTTCTAATGATAAAATCACACAAAAGTTATTCCTAGCGATCAAATATATAAAATCCTTTTGAATTGTTTATTAAAATTTTAAAATAATGTTAAAGTTTTTGTTATTCCAGGAGACACACATATAATTATTAGATTCAAACTTTTGTATATATGAAGTAAAAAGCAAAATGTTAGTGTAAATATTTCTTGATTTTAATTTGAGTTACGGACACAGGAACTTGAAAACGAGAACTTTGTCAAAGGCTTTGTGGTCCAACGCTTTCTGGACACAGAAAATTTAACAATAGCTTTGTAGAATAAATTTTTGGCACGGAGGTACAGAGTAAATGACAATATTTTCTGAAAAGTGCATATAATTTTGGATAGATTAGTCATATCTTCCTATGTCTCCATTACATTTTGGTTCAACAATCCAAGAAAAATTGAACTCCATATCTGGTTTTTGAATTTTACGCCTCTTATTTAATAACATAAGAATGACTTTTAGTTTAGAATGACTTTTAGGGTAAAAGCTTTACAAATGTTGGCAACAGTGGCCACAACTTTGGCTAATACGTAATACGTTTTAGAATTTTATCTGGGAACAAAAAAAGTATTTATTATTATTATTTATTATTATATTATTATTTATTTATTATTATACTATTTATTATATATTATTGTATTATTATTATTATATTATTTATTATTATTATTATTTATTATTATTAGTATTTATTAGTGAAAGTTAAAATGACTTAAAACTCTTTCTAGTGTAAATATTACAGTTAATGTTTGGTGGTGGTTTCACCACAGATATAGGTTACATATTACGATTAATTTCTTAAAAAATAGATTTATTTCTTATTAATTTAACAGATACAAATTATATATTCAATCATATGATTTGCACGATCCCCAGATAAGACTAAACAAATCTGACCATCTAGTTCCATATAGAACTAGAAAAGTAATTAAATTATTAGGATCAGAACCTGCCTACTAGATTAGCATACACAGAAATTGAGAGTTCAAGCGGGAGAATTTTGCGGTTTTTACTAATAAAAACAAATAATGTAAAATGTATGCAACTATGTATAAGTAATCTGAATGCATAATGACGAGAGGAATTCGCTAATAGAGCATTTTCATCATTTCTCAATAAACATAAGACTGAACACATAGCAATGATCATTCAATATCCACCGTTAGAAAGTATACTAAGTGCGTGTATATTGCCAATGCTCAGGCGTACCAAATACCTTTTTTGTACGATCAGCATTTTTAGGCTGTGATAAACTCTATAGAATAATTATATACTTGCATTAAAAATTGTAAACTCTCAAGCACCTTTTATTATTATTATTAAGTAACAACTGGTGTATTACACTTTTTACCCGTTGACTTAATTTAGCTACAGTGAAACTACTCATTAATGACATAAATTATAACTTATAGCGTTACTTCTTACTTACTATTTTATCCATTATTTTTGTTGAATGTTTGTCGAGAATCAAGTAACTAATAATTAATTTAAAAAGTATTACTATTTTTGACCACAAGATACAATCTCAAAAATATTAGTATAATATTATTAATAATGAAAGTTAAAAATACTTTTTATATTTATTAATGATTATAGCACAAGTTGATCTTATCATATATCAAAAAATAATTTAAGTCTTCTCATAATAAAGCAAACCTAACAAGTCTAATGTTTTTAGTGATTTAAGTTAATCCACACTTGAATTTCGCTGACATTGTCATGCAAATCTATGCAGATGAAGGCAGTTTCTGTTTAAATGATTATAAAAATATTTTTGTACAAAATAAGATTACCGTGTTGTGTAAAACCTTATAGCAGTATTAGAGTCCCCATGCAATATAATACTTACCTCAACCTATTAGCACTCAAATTCGAAAAAAATTTAATATTTTAATATATTCTATATTTTATGTATTTTTAAGAACGAAACTATGACGGTTTTAAAATATCTTAATAAACTATTCTACCGGTACAATGTAGGGTTTGGGGTTCGGATTTTTACTAGACTGAATGGATGGTTTTCAATTAAATGTTTGAATGAGAATTTTAAGTTTGTGTAAACCCCACTAGTTACTACATATATAAATATTTTTAATATTTAAATAAGAACTGCATAGGGACATAGTGGCGGACAAGCAAACCAAAAAAAAGATAATTTCACAAGAAAACAAGATTGTAAATTTATTTAAATTTTTTTACATTAATTAGCTATAGTAATAACTAAGAACTAAGTTCTGTACAATAGAATTACTTCTTATAGGCTCATATGGGTATATAATGCTTTACTATATATCACAACTACTTGTATTTTTTAAAGATTTGTATTTCTAATATACAGGTTGATTGAAAAGTTTGAAAGCAAAAACGAAAAAGTGGGAATTTTGTTTCAATAATAAGAAATACTTCAATAAGGATTTATAGTTCCTTCAATAATTTTATACCACCTCTATAATGATTTTCCAAAAGCCTGTAATGGCTTCTATATTCGATGAAAAATGATTTCCACGAACTTTAAAATATAGAATATTCGTTCTTCCGAAATGCAATTTTAGTCATACTTGAATTTCTACGAACTTGGATTTCGTAAACTTTCTCAATGATTTCTGGTGTTGTTGAACTTTTTGCACGCCTACTACGTGGTTCATCTTCAACGGTTGTTCACCCAAGTTGTGAATGAAGGAGCAAATTGTTTTAACACATCCACCTTTTTGTATGAATTTCTGTGGCTGATAAACCTTCCAAAACAAAAAACTTTATCACTGCGAGATATTCGGTTTTTTTCTATTGTGACAAAATTACCGACATGTCAGGTTGAAATGACTTGTAAAAAAAAATCGAATTGACGGATCGAAATAAACATCTAAGTGTGTTCAGATGCAAGTTGAAATGTCTAAATAACATATATATTTTGATTTTTCTTCTAGTTAATAGGCGTCACTTTCGACCGTTTTTAGCCAACTATGCACTTTTATACAATACTGAACATTTAAATGAAATTTGGAATGGATCTTTCACTGACATGCACTTATTGCATTTTTTATGATATCCATTTCCATTTAATTAAAAATAGTTTCTCTATATTATATATTAATGTTTTTTTACATGATTTTTTATGAGGAAAATAAAATTAACAAAAATTAATTAAAAATCAAAGCATAGATAATGACACAAATTCTGTCATCTAAACGGAGTTGGATAATCAATTTGAATTTAAATATTAAATTCTTTGATTAGCTATAGTGATAAAGCGAAAAACGTCTGTACTTCTCTTTAG